GTCGCGCCGGAGGCGCCTGCATAGAAGCAGCGGGCCTCCAAACCACGTGGTGGAGGCGTGAAGCGGCTGGCGGCGCGGGGGCGCAATACAACGATGAACCAACCTCGGCCGGCCAAAATTTTGAAGCCGGACGCGGCTGCGACGGGCAATTCGCAGTCGTCGCCTACCTTGGCGTCCTCCTCCGGGCACAGAGTTCCTCATCCACCTCCGCCGCCGCCATCGCCGGACATGGAGGAAGAGGTGGCCACACGTTCAACGATATGTTGCAAAGGTAAAAGAAATCGTTTGTGAACTTGTTTGTTGCTCTAATTGTCGATTCCAGTACAATGTGAACTTGATGATGTACTTTTGTTGTGCAAATGCAGCTGAACAGCAGCGGCACGGCCGGCGGTTGGTTTTACATCTCTAATTTGCATTTTCTTTTATTGGAGTTGCTCTTTTACATCTCCATTTTGCATCATTTGTTGGAGTTGATCCTTTTTTGAAGATGCAAAAGGCACTTTTTAAAGATGTAAAATTTTACATGTCCAAATTTGCATCTTCAATTGGAGATGCTCTTAGGGCGAAAAAAAATTTGAACACCTAAAGTTGAATTCCTGGATCCGCCACTGCTACTGCCACATCTACTCAGTACTTCAAGTGCAAAAGACGGAAGTCTTAGGACATATCTTCACGGTCATGAATTTTACACACTTCTCTTCCTTATACTTGCATTCCTCGTTGTCCGGCATAGATCAACTCCTATGGAATATACACAATAAGAATTTCAGGGGCGAAAAGAAAAAGAACAAAGCAAAATTTATTATATTTTGGGTTTTTTGAAAAATAACTTGCAAACGAAAAAATCGCAATTGCAAAATGAAAATAAAAAATAAAGGCAAAGTGTTAGAACAAACCAACACGAGTGTTTTGAAGTTCAACAAGCTGCAATACAACCTCATTACAATTTACTCAAACTAGTATGCGTGCACGCGCAATGCGCGCCTTTACACTACAGAGTGATTTTTGCAAAAATAAGACATGAAAATGCCGAAGAAATGATTCAAGACATATGACCATCGTGCATCTACGGACTATGTAATTTGCACAAAATTTGGGGTACCTATTGCAGAAAATACATAAATGAACCTAGATACATATGAACCCACTTCGAAAAACACAATTTTAAATGACAAAAAAAAATCTAAAAAAGTATATATGAACTCACTTCAGAAAACAAATTTCCAAATGACAAAAAAATCTGGAAAAAGTTGCACTCCTTCGTCTCCCTCCATGTTCTGTGTGATCATAGAAAGTTTTGCGGAAAAACAAATTTCTTTGCATGTGCAAAAAGAGGAAGAAAACATGTCTTGAAACGCTATCTCGAAGCACCATTTTTTGTTTTTTATGCGGCGGCAAAATAAAAAGATACTTTTTTCCGTTTTTGTTCCCCGTGCATATTTTGTGAAGATGTGTGCTTTTTTTTTTGCAATTCTTGATATTTTAAAACATATTTAAAATGCATTTAAAAAATGGATTCATATATACTCCCTCTGTCTTGAGTCACTTATCTTGAGACGGAGGGAGTACATAGTTTCAGATAGTGCGTACCTTACCTATTGTTATGTTTATTGTATAGCATTTACTACAGCAATCCACCCAGAAATACACGCGAGGCAGTGAGGCGAGGCAGTGAGGCCATGTACGTGCTCGATGCACTGGTTTGATTTGTTTACTTTATTGTTTTTTATCGTTCTACTTTTTACCTCCTGTCAGACTATGTGGTACGGACCCCACTTGTTTCTCCTTCTAGTCAGGCCATGTACTCCAGCAATGTGAATATGGCATGGTCACTCTGTTTGCTCCAACGAATTGACATGCAGTGGGTCCCTTACTCAAGTGCTAACCTGTAGATGTATCTGGAACGACCCAGATAACACCCAATTTTACTGTAGCAGCGAATCCCTGCAATATAAGCCGTTGGACAGAGCCCAATGAACGGCCAGAAATGCATTTCAATGTGTGAATTCAAACATTCAAAACTGGTACACTATATAGTAGTATAGATATAGATAATATTGTCACATCTTGATGTAATGCGATGATGACCTCCCCCAAGCTTAAGCTTTTGCAAGCGCAAACCGATGGGATCATTGCGACGGTTGGTCAGGAGCCCATCCTTGACTCCAGTTGGAGAAGGTTAAACTCATCTAGGCAGACGTGTCTTGAAGAGACTCGGTGAGGTTGCTCATATCATTGATAGAGCCCTGGAGATTGTAGAGGTCCGAGTAGGTGGTGTAGGCTTCTTGTTGTGGTTGTTCTTAGGGTTGCTCCTCCTCTTCATCAGTGGCAAGTTCTTCTTCATCTACTTGTTCAGGTTCGGAGCCATCTTGATCAAAAGCTGCATCTCCTTCCCATGGAACATAATGCAATTATCCATGTTTCATAGAGAAACAGTTAGGCGCATGAGTGGGACATAAGTATGCCACTCCAGGAATTTTGATGCAATGACGACCATGGCTAACTACTACCGTTCTGGTGCTAGCAAAGATACGAATATTAACAAGGTTGTTACCGTCAATGGGGCAAAGGTGATTGTAGTTGAGACCAAGGAAGATGACCAACATGGTGATCACTCGTCCACACACTATATCCCCTTGTGCATGATTTGCTTAATGTGTG